GCTTTTGACAAAAAAGTTTATTGAAAAAAACTTTATGTACAGAGCTTTTATAAGAAATCTTTCTTTAATTAATTAAAGCAAATAAGATTGTTATGAAAAAGCTTTATATATAAATATTTTTATGAAAAAGCTTTATATGAAAAAACTTTACATGAAAAGCTTTTTGTGAACAAGTTTTATGAAAAAACTTTATAAGAAATCTATAAAAATCTTGCTATGAAAAATTAAAGCAAAGAAGATTGTTTTGAAAAAGCTTTATATATAAAGTTTTTTTTATGAAAAAGCTTTGCATGAAAAGCTTTCTATGAAAAAACTTTACATTAAAAGCTTTCTGTGAACAAGTTTTATGAAAATTTTCATTTATAAAATTGTAAAAAATTTATAAAAAAGAGAGAAAACTTATGAAACAGTATTTGTTTCAAAAAGCTCTTTATGAAAAGACTTCATGTGGAAAAACTATTTATTAAACAGCTTTTTCTCAAAAAGCTCTTTATTAAAAAGGTCTCTTACAAACCTATTAATGTATATTTCACTAAGAAAAAAAAACTTCCCTCTCCCGCTTTTACAAATTATTTATCACTTTAACCCTATAAGTATGCTTCAACATTTATAAGGATAATTGGTTGATACTTAAAATTGTATAAATAATGTCAAATATATAGTGAACAGAAACATAACTAAACTGTTCAAGTGCAAAGCAGTTTAAACATGTTTTCTTTAACTTCCTGTAAGTGAAAAATGGCTGCTAGCGTATAAGTATATTAATGCAGCTGAACTGCATTTAGTGGCCACTTAAATGCGCCATAAAACTAATATGCAGGAAAAGAAAATGCAGTAAAATTCTTAAGACACACTAAGCATTTCGAAGAGAAAGGATAGATTTATAGCAATGCTTAAGCTCTCTCGTATATTTTCTTCTCATTAGCATTAGTGCTTTTAAAAAGCTTATTTACTTTTCTCTTAAACTTAAACGTTTAAATATTTAAGCTTAAATAGTCAATGTTCTCATGAATTTTATATAAAAAACTTTTAGAAAATTATAAATTTAACATATACATTATTAATAGAAATTATTACACACCCATACAAACTGCTATAATTTGCATTTTACTAAAGTTTTAAAAAGCTATAATCTTCCAATGGTTGTTGCAATTTCTCAACCCTAAGCAAACAAAATTAAATGTAATTTTTTTTTGTTCTCTTGGCACATCCTGATTGCGTCGTTTCTTCTTTTTTTCTGCTTCTATATAACGTCCATTCTTTAGTTTAACAAACTACGATGTTTTACTATAAATTACATTCGATTTTTATGTACGAAAAATGTTCGTGAGTTTAAGTGTTCTTGAACATGTTAAGCACGTCGTCTGCATAGATTTTGAGTGAAAAAATTTGCCATTTCTTTAGAAATTAAAACCTTAGATGTATTAGCAAGCAGCCACTAAGGTTATAGGTATCCGACAGTTTAAAGGGTACAATTTCTAAATCCTTAAAATGTTATTTTTCCCAAAAGTAACACTTTAGTGTCGGTAAAGGAAAGACTGGTCTCTTTAAAGCTTTATTTTCTTTTAAAAGTTATAAAAAGCTTTTTACTTATAGCTTTTTCATAAAAAGCTTTATAAAAACTTTTTAATAAAAAGCTTTTTTATAAAAAGCTTTATAAATGCTTTTTAACAAAAAAGCTTTTTTATAAAAAGCTTTATAAAAGCTTTTTAATAAAAAGCTTTTTTTTATAACAACTTTTTACTTATATATTTTTATAAAAAGCTTTATAAAAGCTTTTTAATAAAAACTTGTTACTTATAGCTTTTCCATATCAAGCATTTTAGAAAGCTACTATTGCAAAGCCAACTGTATTAATGCAGTTTGCAACAACCATTCTCTAATGATTTTCTCCATAGTGCAGGAACTTGCAAAACTGCAGGGTTATATACAGTTTTAAAGCATTTATTAATGTATTGTTGGCTGTTGAAGATGGTGGAGTAAAGCATTAAGATACATTGCAATTGTATGATGTTTGTATATGAGTTCAAGAGTTTCTTTTAAATTTGGGTCGTTTTTTGGTTGTCGCCATTTTTATGTGCATGTCTGCTTGAGATTTTCCTTGTTTCGTTATTTCAGTTACTCCTCATTTTGTTGTAGCTTTATTTTATGGTTTTAACCTCATTCGAATTTCCTTGTTTTCCATCTTTTTTCTTGTTTCTTGTATAGTATTAAGCACAGGCACAAAGCAAACGGAAATTATATTTTATTTTTTTCTGTTTTGCAAAAAAGAAAAATAAAGCGAACTGATTCTAACATATTTTATCTGTATTGCCAAGAATATATAAATGAATTACATACATATACATACATAACAAATGTCTTTTTTTTTTGTACCAAATTGACCTCGTTTTCAATTAAGTTAAACTTATTCAATCATAAATTTTGTACAAGATTTAAAATAATGATATTTTTCTTAATATACATAAACTATTAATGATAAAATTCACAGAGTTTATTTAGAAAAAAGAAAAGTCATAAATCTGAAAGAAGATTTAAATTAATAACTTTTTTTTTTGCAAGAATTTAAAATGTTTTCTTTCCTTCGTAACTCCTACTCTATTGTTTAAATATACAAAGCTTACAAAGTTGTGTGTCTCTACTTAAATTACAAAAGTTTAATTTGGTTTCTTGCTTTATTAATTTTATTTTTGTTTTATTTTTTTTATTTACCTTAAGAAACATTTTCAACAATATGCAATTGCTATAAATATTTATTTAATAAAACATTTTTGTGCTTAAAACTTGCAAATGAAACGTAGAAGGAAAGCAAAAAAGTTTGAAAAACTAAAAATTAAAACTAGAAAAGAAAATGAAAAAAAAAAATAATTTCATTAAAATTCTTTCGTCAGAAACAAAACAACCGGCAAACAACTTTTCTGTAGTACGTTTTATTATTCTTTTTTCTTTTTTGATTTTTCAATGAAACAACAATTTTACTAGAACAACAAGAACAAAATGTAAATGAGCCAAGTTTTTAAAAACAATATGAACGAACACACTCTTAAAAAACAGGCGAAAGCTACAAAAAAAGCTATACATTTGAAATGAAGAAAATAACAAGAAAACAGGCTTGCAAACAAAAAAATAAATAAAGGAAGTATGAAAAAAAAAACTATCTACTCGAAAGTATGTAGATAGTTAGATAACCCTACAGTTCTGAGAAACTAACATTGCAATAGAAGCTTTCAAAAATTCTTCATATGAAAAAGCTATAAATAAAAAGTTTTTGTAACAAAACTTTTTATGATAAAGCTATGAGTGAAAAGCTTTTTATATAAAAAGCTTTAAAAATAAACTTTGAATAAAAAGCTTTGGATAATAAATTTCCAGAACGCTTTTATTAGAAAGCTATAATGAAAATGTTTTTATACAATACAGCTTTTTATGAAAAATATATGTATACGTTAAAAGCTTTTAAAAGCAGCTTTCAATAAAAAGCTTTATTTATAAAGCTTTAAATTGAAAACTTAACAACTGCAACTTTAGATCTGATATATCTATTCATATTTTGCAACAACAATGTTTTCATAGGCAGTACATAGGGAGTGACACATTTGAGAAAACTTTTCTCTAAAGGCGTTACATAGACTCTGGGTAACACTGCTGGGAAAACAACAACAACAATGAAAACAAAGTTTTGTACAATTTATAAACACAAATAAAGACGTATTGTAATCTATACTTGATGCATACACGTACAATGAAGGAAAACAAATAAAAACACTTGTATACAATGACATTTGCCGCAGCTTAAGCTTTGATGACAGAGCTTTTTCTCAAAAAAATATTTAAATAAAGAAAAGTTAAAAAAAAAACTATTTATGTGAAAAAGCTTTGCTATTTACTTACAATATATTTTATTGTTCTTATTAAAGATTTGAATGCTATAAAAACTTAAAAGCTTTTCTTCTCAAAAACTCTTCCTTATACACACAAAGGCAATATAATTGATACTAGATTTACTTAGCAGCTTTTTATGAAACAGCTTTAGGTAAAAAGCTTTTTATGGAAAATATTTTTATTGTAGAAAACTTATGTAAAAAATTGTGAAGAAAAAAAATATGAAAAAGCTTTAGAAATAAAAACATATTAAAAAGCATTTTAATCGAATTACTTTTTGCAAAAAGCTTTATGAAAAAGCTTTTAACTGAGTTCTTGAAAACTCTTCCTTATCCTTTCTCATAGCTTAAGTCTAAGTAAACAACATTTAAGCTGCACAGTAAAGCAATAGAATTGATCCAAGCTTTGCTTAACAGCTTTTTATAAAAAAGCTATAGGTTAAAAGCTTTTTATGGAAAACATTATATAGAACACTATGCAGAAAACTTATGTAGAAAATGTGAAAAAAAATATGAAAAAGCTTTAAGAATAAAAACATTGTAAAAAATATTTTAATCGAATTACTTTTTGTGGAAATACTTTTTTGTTGAAAAGCTTTCCATCTCTTTCCATCTTACATAATGCAATTATGTTAAAAAAATGTGAAAAAAATTATGAAAAATCTTTAGGAATAAAAACGTTGTAAGAAACATTTTAATCGAATTACATTATGCAAAAAGCTTTATGAAAAAGCTTTTATCTGAGTTAAAAGCTTTTAAAGTAAGATATTTTGTATAGAAAGTGCTCTTTTTAAGATTTGTGTAAAAAAAAACTTTAGATAAAAAGCTTTATGTCAAAAGCTTTTTATTGAAAAGCTTTATGTAAAAAACTTTTTATAAGAAACTTTATATAAAAAGCTCTTTATAAAAAGCTTTATATAAAAAAACGTTCAATGACAAATTTTTATGTGAAAAGCTTTTTATGGAAATACTTTTTTGTTGAAAAGCTTTTTTCTCTTTCCTTGCAATAAAATTATTTTCCAATAAGAGGAATATAGGTTTAAGTAGCCTAAAAAGCTTTATTTAATTGTATATTTTGAAAAATATTAATTTAAAAATTTTTTGTATTTCTCTTTACAGGCGAAAAACCGTATAAATGCTCCTGGGAAGGTTGTGAATGGCGTTTTGCCCGCAGTGATGAATTGACACGTCACTATCGCAAACACACTGGCGCCAAACCCTTTAAATGCCGCAACTGTGATCGTTGTTTCTCACGTTCCGATCATTTAGCGTTACACATGAAACGTCATATGTAAATCAAACTATAAAACTAACAAACCATCACCAGCCCGAGATTAAAAGCGCTAGAGAGAAAGAAATCTTCCAACTGAAATTTAAATAAATAAATATATTTTATTTAATTATTAAAAAAGAAGCAGTGCAAAATTCCTGGAAAAAAACAAAACAAAACTATACTGTAAAACTCCTTACAAAAACGTAATTTAAATTAAGTTTCTTTAAGAGCATTTAAGAGAAGTTGTAGTATATAATTAAGAGCAAAAAAAAAATTATTAGAAAAAAGGTAAGTAAAGAGAAAAAGTTTTACACTAGGAGCGTTATGTGCCATCATCATCACACATTTTTTTATCAAAAAAAAATTAAAAAAACAAACAAACTTTAAGAAAAATGTAAATTAAAAAGAAATTTAATTTTTATTTAAGAGAAAAAAATTTTATTAATTTTTTTTATTATAATTTGTGGAGTTGATAAAAATATGTTTTTAGTTTTTTAAGTAAAATAGTGAAGTATGAATGTATGTAGTAATATTAACAAGAACAAATCAAATTTCTACCAAAGTAAAGCAATTTATGTTTTTTTTTATATATATATAGAAGTAATACGATAATTATTAATTAATTATTAATTATGTTTTAAGTAAGTTTTATTTATAAGTTTTTCAAAATTTTCTTTTTTCCAAAACTGTTTAGTAAAAAATAATATTTAGAGTAAAAAATTTGCTAGTGTAAAGCTAAACACTGCCAAAACAAAATTATTACAAAAAAAAATCATAACAAAACTTAAATGAATTAAAAATTATTTTCGCAAATTTAGAGTTTCCAGCCTGGATAATAATTTACAAATATTAAAATCAAACCATTTGGGCAAGTAATTACTTATATGACTTAGGCAAACTTTGACAAAAGCTTTTAATTATATTATAAGCTTTTAAAGCAGCATTGCTTAGTCATTTGATTACTGGCTTAAAAGACTGAAACATTTTTTTATTAATTTGTGCTGATTTTTAAAATAAATTTCCAAATATTTGTTTAATATTATATCTAGGCTTTAGTTTATATATATGTTTTTTAAATTTTTTTTAACAAAATAAATTTGTTTATTTTTATATTAAAAATTTCAAGTGCAAATAATGTTTCAAACATTTATGTTAAAGATATTAGTTATTAAGTTCTCATATTTATTAATTTGTTGTTTAAAAAGAAAAAACATTAAACCAACAATTTTGATATATTATTATTTAAATAAAAATGGTATTCTATTCTAATCAATTCTATTCAAAACTAAAACAAATTATTCCCTCTCTTACGATCTTAAATTAAATTATTTAAAACAAAATTTTAAATTTAATTTTTTTATTGAAATTTTTTTGAAAAAACAAAAATTTTTTGCTATTTTTTCTTCTATTTTTAACAATAACAAAAGTATTATTAATCATATTCATTTAAATTTTTTTATTTTATTTTTGGTCTTAATAAATAACTATTTATATAAATTTTTTATAAATAAAACGGTTGTGCACTCAAAAAAAATAAACAAATATTCAAACATATTTTTTTCTTCAAATTTAAAAAAAAATCTGTATTTGAACCTTAATTGCTTTATTTAACATTTCAAAGAAAATATCTATATATTTGTTCTAATTTGGCCTTAGCTTTTTTAAAAAAGTTTATCATAATTTTAACTGTTTTTTCTTAAATCTTTAAATTTATATATATAGTCTAATATTTATGTTTTTTTTAATTAAATACTTTACAAATCTGTCTGTCAGTCTTATTAATTTTTAATTACAAAATTTATTATTTTTTCGTTTAAATTTTAAGTTCTATTTTTTTTTGATTTTAGTTCTATAATTCAGTTTATAAACTTAAATTGTATTTAAATTTTAAACATAATAATAATTTTTTTATGTAATTTTTATTATTTGAATAAATGCTTTAAAAATAAAACAAATGCTTCTTTTTATTTTATAATTTTAAATGATTTTTAGTTAAACTTCCCAAAAATTTCAAAAAAAAATTAAAAATTTTTGATAAAACCATCGTGATGGATTTAATAATGTTAATTTTATTTCAAAATATTTAACTGCTTATAAATGTTCACATACTTTAGGGATGCTGTAATAAATCATTTATACCGCCGTCTTAAAGTATGTGTTTGTTATGAATTAAGTTCTGTGTTTTGTATTGTATTCAGAGTTCTGCACGGATGGAGAAATTTTTATTCCCACCTTAAAGTATACCAATCGGCTCAGAATCACTTTCTTAGTCGATTTAGCTATGCCCGTTTGTCCGTCCGTCTGTGTGTCCATTTAAACCTTGTACGCACTCTACATGTCGCAATTTTCAATATAATTGAATGAAATTTGGTACATACTCATCTTTCTAAAGACGAAGCCTATTGAAAATTGTTAAAATCGATCCTTTTGAGCTCATAAATATATTAAATGTTCTTGTATCACTTTAAAAATCGGCAAAACTTACAATTATATACGTCTTAATGATACTGCTGATTTTCGTAATGATCGGGCCTCATTTGACCCTCTCCCCCCTATATAAAGTCCCCTTCGGTGAATCACTTGATGGTCAAACACTAATAACACTATAATATTCTGCATAAATAACTAATGTAGACATAAATTCCTCTATCAAAATTTATAACCCCCTGTCCCCATTTAACCGCTATTTTTGAAAATCTGGAATTGTGTGTTTCAAACCCCAAAAATATTTATAAGTTGACTGCTAAGTCAAAGTTCATTATTTTGTGTTAAAATGGCCATAAATTAGGGTTCTTGAAATCGACTTTTGAACATTTAAAATATCGCCTATTTCGTTCAAACGGTCAATCAACTGTCTGTTCTATAGAAATGTTCTTGATAACTGTTCTATACTAGAGATCGATGACTTTAATATTCTAGAGAAAAATCACTTTACTCTTATAGAGAATAATGACTTTACTCTTTTAGAGTAATATAATCGATAATTGTACCATTTTATAGCAATGTTATCGATAACTTTAATATTCTATAGAAAAGTCAGCTATAACTTTATTATTCTAAAGAAAAGTTATAGAGAGTAAAGTGGGAAAAATCGATGATAGTGGAATAGAAGTTGAAATTGTCGAAAAGTCTATATAAAAAACTAATTGAAACCCTGTTTTTTTTTTGCTACGAATAGCAACCGTTATTATTACAAACATATGTATATGGAAAGTCGAAAAGCCGTTCATTATACCCTACTATAGTGGGGAGGGACTATACGTTTGTGCTGATGTTTGTAACACCCAAAAATATTAGTCCTACATCCACCCTAAAGTATACCAATCAGAATCACTTTCTGAGTCGATTAAGCTATGTCCGTCTGTCGGCCCGTCCGCTACATGTCGCAATTTTCAATAAAATTTGATGAATTTTGGCACATACTCTTCTTTTGACCCAAGGACCCATTGAAAATGGTTGAAATCGGACCATTATTTCGAAAGATCAGCATATAATCATACATACATTTAAAATGATTTCAGGCCAATAAACACCGCATCTATTCTTGACGAAGCGCAGATCATTTTCTCAAATCACTGCTTGTGGTCATTATATGGCACATAGAGCCAAACCTGTTGAAAACACATTTCGCACAGATCAATGTCATTCATAATGTCGAACAAAAATTCGATATTCATTGGCCGTTTTGCGAGCAGTGGATTTATTTTTTAAAAAACATGGTCTGCCACAATCATTTAAATGGAGAATTTTTCTAGATGTTGGGGATTGTTTTCACCCCATATGTGGTAATTTTATTTATTAAAAAAGTCAAGCGATAAATAAGCCTCATAATTATGTTATAAAACATAGAGTTAGTTTCTACGTATCGATAGAAACTGACTCGTTGTTCAAGCGTCAGATTATACTATCACAAATGATAAAAAGGTAGGGCAGTATGATAGTTCGTTTGACAGTAACCCCCTTCGCAAGCACTAGTAGGCTTAAACATCCGCATTTTGACTTAACGATCAATATGTTTAATAACGAATGAACAAATCTGCACATTTTTAAAAATTGCCTAAAAAAATTAGAAGATTGTTTAAAGAAAACAAAGGTGATAAAAGTGGGAAAAATACAAAAAATTTCAAAAGTTAAAATACGACTCATCAAAACTGTAAAAGCTCTAATAAATTGAACAAATTAAAAAGTTAATTATTTGTTTAAACTGTAGAGCCCCAATACTAGGGGGAACTGATATTTCCAATACCAAAGATTAATATTGTAATAAATATGAATATTTCGTCAATCTGTTATTGTCAAATTTAAGTTCCGGAAATATTTTTTTATTATTTTGTAGTCTTGAGATTATTAGCATTATGTACATGTTTATTTTTATCTATTAATGTTAGCTTTTTATTTGTATATGTTATAAATATAATTAGCAATTTTTTCTCAAAAATTACAACAAATTCATTCACTTTCACTCTAAATTTCCATTATTTTCATCTAAAACATAAACTCTATTTTAAAATTAAAACATAAAACTCAAATATTTGCAGGCATGTCTAAGAGTTCTTTAAATGTAAATACTTAAATACAAATCATAATAATTTAAATATTAATATATAACGTTATACTATATCATGCGGTAATCTTACTGTTTAATATTTCAAGTTTTACTACTTTGTTTAAAATTTCACAGATTTTCTCTTTAGAAAACTTCTTCTAATAAAACATTTTCTTCAATTCACCTATTACGATCCTAACGACACTCAACTCAGTGACATGCCCTATATATTTATTTGAACAAAACATTGTAGAACAAAATAAATATTTGCTAAATGCAGTGATGTGTGATGAAAAATTCTGTGATCCAGCATTTGAGAAAAAAAAAAAAAAAACAAAAAAATATAAAATAATAAATAAACGAATATATTTAAAACATTAATACAAAAATAAAGACGTAACAAGCATACAACCGAAAATGTTGCAAATAAAATATATATAAAATTTTCATTAATAAATAATAATTAGCTAAATATTTTTTCCTATTAATTTATTTTATTATTATTTTAAATGTTTTTGTAAAATGTAGCTTTTTAGCAAATTTGTATAAAAAACAAACTTAAAAATAAATAATTTGTAGCTTAAACTCTATGTAGGTAAAAAAAAACTTTTGGCACAAAGCTTTTTTTGAAGCCATAAGAAAATTTAGTAAAAAAAATAACTCATTCATTATAAAATTAAAATTACAAATAAAAAAAAATACATTTATAAAATGCTTATTAATGTCTAACAAAAAAAATATGTGTCTTTTACTTTGTGTGCTTAAATTAACTAATTTTAATTAAGTAATTATTGATTAATTAAATAAATTTATTGAAAAATATAAGATCGTCTAATATAAGCAAATAAAATGTAATAAAACTAGGGCCCCTCCCCTGTTATAACAAAGAGAGTATGAAAAACGCGATCTCAGCTTCCAGTCTAATTTATTTGCTTCCTTTAAATGATTGAAATAAAACGATGAACTGTGTATAATTTGGCTAATTTTATAAAAATTAAATAACAAAAAGCAATCTTCCGCAAAATTTAGAACTAAAAAATTATTATTAAAAAAAAAAAAATCAATAAATAAGAAGACTTTTCTACTAAAAATGTCTTCTTATCTACGAATGTGTCAAATAAAAATTCAATCCTTTTTCAAAAAAAAAAAAAAAAAAAAAAACAAAATGCATCATAAAAAAAAAATTATAAAATCTCCAAAAGCAAACAAATCATATTTTGTAAAAATATACATATTTTATACAAAACTAAAAAAAGAAGAAAAATTTAAGATTTAAAATAACAGAAAAAAAAAACTCTTTCACATACACGCCCCAAAAAAAAACACACGTTTAATCAAAAAAAGAAGAAGAAAGAATAATACATTAAAAAGAAATCCAATCATAAGATTTTATTCACATCAAAAAAAAATTATCTATATATTTCATCTATATTTATAAAGCTAAAACAAACAACCAACACTTACTATTTAAACTAATTACATATATAATAAAAATAAAAAAACAAGAACAAAAATTATTAATTTCTATAAATAAATTAATTTTTCATTAACATCAACATCATCATGCCATCAACATTAAAGAATTAATTTAATGTGAAATTTTTTTCCCCCAAATAAAGAAAAATAAAATACATATTTGAATTAATAAAAGAAACACATAAATATATATTAACAAAAAAAAATCTTAACATTTTTTTACACAACAAAAGCAAACAATTTAAAGACTGGTCAACGAGGTGTTCCGCGTATATGCA